GCTTACATTTAAAGAATCACAGTCACTTCTAAAAAAAAAAAAATTCTACATGAAGTCTTTTCATCTTGCGATTTCAGACCCGCTAAAACTTATTAAGTCCTAACAATATGAATTAAACTCACATTATTTAAAAGAGTTTCGTCGCTACATATTTCTAAGTAAAAACCGCATTTCTTTCGTCATTTGAAGCTCTGGTCCCTGGAGTATTCAGTCATAAGATCTTCATATAAATTGATAAGATTTTCCGTTACAGTTTTCCAATTTTTTTTTATAGTTTTAATTAAGGAAATAAGAATTTCAATTAAGGAATTAGTAGTTTTACAAGGATATGCGTTTGTGGAATAATCAAAAGCTTTAAAAGCTATAAAATCTTAAGCACAATGAAAAACCATTTGTTGTTTTATTCGAATTTAATTTCGAAGATATAAAACAGTTCAAAAAACTTCATTATTGGTGTGTACTCTTTTGTCAGTAGAAAATTATCTTGGTCGACATTGCTTAGCATAATGAAGAACTTATATAGCTAGAATATTACGCTCGTGTAATAATGGAAATTAAGATTTAATAATGGTTTTGACAAGGTCTTTTTCCACCCCTTCAGCATTTGGAAAATTAGAATTCTGAAGAAACTAAGTGAACCATTTGAATAGTTGATTGTATTCAGTAAATTTTGTTCTATTTAACCTATTCATAAAATTTAACTAAGTTTTCAAAATGCTCTAAAATTTCAGAAACTTTTTAAATTTGGTAACCAGGTGCATAAAGAGCTTTCAATGAATAACATAAAATAACGGAATTTAGTTTGTTAACATACTAGTACGCAATGAGAAAAATTCTTTAACCGACGCAGATCGGACACAGGTATTCCTTATATATATTTTCAAGCTCTCTAATTACAAGTAAAAATATTTTTTTTTTTAATGGCGGGCACTTGGGGTTTGTCCCATTGGCCACAGAACTGCTACTCTCTTCACGTTACCCAGTGGGCATCTGCAGCGTCGCCCACGTCACACAACCCCGTTCATAGGGCGGGTCACATTCACACAAATAGGAAAGGATATAGAACACACAGAGAGAAAGAAACATCCATGCCCTGAGCAGGATTCGAACCCGCGGCCAATGGCTCTGCAGTCAGACACGCTAACCANAAATAAGCTTTCGGAAAGTTTAAATGTGGTTTGATTTATAGATAAATTCATGAAATTTAACAGAATGTTTAATTTATGCATGTTTCTAATGTAGCGTACTTTTTATTTATTTATCGCATTTTAAAGTTTTTGTTATAATGATTTTAATAGAAATTCGGCATTCTTTCACCCACGAGTGTTCTGACAGTCCTTAAAAGACAAAATAATTTTCGTATTTCTCTCCCTTATGCCAGGGATACGAAAGCCTTAGTTTAACCTTCAGCTTAAAATTTAATGATATTGAGGGAATTTTAAAACTGAGTTAAAATTGATATATTTTTAAGATTGACACATTATAAATTTTATCTTTAAGTGATTTTTGTAATGGAATGTTTTGGAATTTCAAACCTTTAACCCCTTAATGATCGGTAAATTTTCAAGAAAACGGTCATCAAAGTGCCTATTTTATTGGCTTTTGTATTACGTATTTGATTACTGCTGCAACTAGTTTAAAATAAACTATCTACCATTACCTTAAAAATATCCTGGTACTGCCATCAGGTGTGTAAAATGAGAAATGAAATGTTTTCTGAGCGAAAGAAATGAATTAGTTTCATTCTTATTGGCGCGTTACTACTGAACACTCCAGCCCGTCAATATCACGGGAGCGAGAAATAGCGGGCGAAATCTCACCCCGTCATTTTCACGGGAGCGAGAAGGAAGGGTTTAAGGGTTCAGGGTCTCCCTACCCTTTGAGAATTTTAAATCTTATTGCTAAGTATGACAAATCACATGATCTCTAAAGTTATTAAATAATCTTTTAAGTATTTCTTGAGAAATTAAAAAGAAAATGTCAAAAACGGAAAGTGTCTCTTCTATTATTGTAGGGTTAGTGCCTTTTTTCTGTTAACCCATAGCTTTTACATTCGTTCAAGTGTTACGTTATAACATACTAAATACGCAGCAAGTCAGACGGTCAAGTCACAAACTGCTGGTTCTGAAGGTCCGGGGATCAATACCCGGACGTGATCAATGTTGAAATACCTTATTTCGTAAACAAAAAATTTGTGTATTTATTTAAATGAATTGAAACGTATACTTAAAAGTATTATTTTTAAAATATGTCTTTATATTTATAAGTAGTACTATTATTTTTTCCTTTTCTGAGTGTGTTAATTACAATGTTGCTTAAATACTTTATGTATAAATGGTTCTCCCCTTATGATTATTTTGCAATTTTAAAACAAGGTCACGTGTTAAATTATAATATAACATATCAAAGGAAATAATTAGATCTAGAATATGGGGTAAAATGTATGTGTATATTTCCTAGTGCGTCAAAATGGAAAAATTGTTGCTCATATATTGTATGACATTATACTATCTCCAGGGCCGGCCCCAGGGCAGGGCGATCCGGGCGGCCGCTCGGAGCGCAATGATCTAGGGGCGCCAAAATGATAGTTAGCAAGATTGAGAGGCGGTAGGCGGAATTTATCATTTTTATTTCTAAGCATATAATTCAAATAATATAATATATTTACACATTAAGGCAAAACCTAGTTGAATTCAATTCAACCATAATATTTTGGTCTAAATAATACTTTGGTTTATATAATATTTTGGTCTAAAAGACATACCCAGAAATGTAGCTTCATTTGTGTTGTTGACAGTATATTCGCGATCGCAACGAACTATAGGGGGCGTTGTTGTATGAGACGCATACCTGCGATTTCTATATGAACCGTCATTCTGTTACTCTGGGCGATTTCTATATGAACCGTCATTCTGTTACTCTGGAGACGTCTTTAATGTAGCGTGTAGCATTGCAACGTTCCTTCTTTAATGTGGCTTATTAAATTTAAAAAAGAAAAATGCTTGATATCCTTTCTTATGCAACCGAAAACAAGATGGTATCTCTTTTTTTTTAAAGAAGGAACAGCCAAAACACATCTGAAAAATATTTGTAAATAAACAGAAAAAAATATGTATCTTCTTATTAGAGTTAAAACCTAATGCCTAAGAAACAGTTTTACTAAATTTAATGATATAACCTGAAAGGCCTATTTAAACTTTACATTCCATAGTTTTAAGAATCATATATTACTTCAAACATTAAAATTAGCAAAAAGTGTACATAAGCTTCATAATTTTATGTAATTTAATTTTGTAAATAAAGTTTTTTGACAACAAGTAATTTTATCAAAAAAATTTTAAGTTTTAATAAAAATCATTATTTAGAGACTGAAAAACGTAAAGTAAAGAGTGCTTACGATACAAAACGAAAAAATCCAATTCTAAAAATTCCTTATATTAAAATAAACAACTTTCATGTTTTTTCTTTTTTGATTCATAATCGGACGTAGAAAACCATTCTATAGAAAACTAACATCAAGAAAAAAACTACTTCAAAGTAAAATTTTTTATTTTATAAAAATTAACACTTACCTGCTTTATAAATCAGAAGAATTCCAAAATGATTTGTTCTTCGATTTTTGTTACCATTTTTTAGTGCTACGAAAATGCGTCTTTGGGATTTGCCAAAAATAGAACAATATGCAATTTTATTTTTTCTGGAGCGAAATATTTTGCCCATTGTCCACCGAAATCCGATAAACTACTTTGATTTTAAATAAAGTATTTCGTTTTATGATCTGTCACAAAAATTTTAGGTGTAGATTGGCTGCACTTAAAAACAGCCAAATCTGTAGCTGCCGTGGCATTAATACATAAGTATCGAATTTTTATTCATACTTTTCTGAATCATATTACTTGAAACATTAGAATATGCAAGAAGTATACATAAACACATAATGTTATATCATTTATGTTTTCAAAAAAAGTATTTTGAGAACAATTTTTATCAAAAAATTATAAACTGTAAAATAAATAAAGAATAATTCTTAGGATAAAAAACGATTTTAAGAATTCTTTGCATTGAAATAAAAACTTTCATGTAGTTTCTTTTCTTATTATTCTTATAGCTCTTAATCAGACGTAAGAAACCATTCTGTAGAGAACTATCATCAAATAAGAATAATCAATATAAGAATAATAATCATCAAATAAGAATATAAATAATATATTATAAAAATTTAGATAATTCCTTCCTTCAGCAATCCCGTGCCTGTTTTACTTGTATGGTCTTAATTGATGATAAAATATGAGGTACATTTTGTAATGGTTATTAAAACATTATATTTATACACATCTTTTTTTTCTCTTTCAGATATGTTATTTTGAAACCATCTGTAAAGGCTATCTATGCTCTTTTACTTCAGCACCATCTTGGAATTGACGATGATCTATTGTAAATTAAAAGGAAACAGTGTTTTGAAATCCTCTCAGCGGTTACAAACGCCATCTTGGGTAATTTTATAGACTTAGAATTTTAAAATTTGTAATAAGACTTTACTTTTTCATGAGTCATTATCTTGCACTAAAATGCATCAGTTGTTCCTTAAATTATTTACCCTGGTCCTTCCTGTTTTATTTTGCTTAGTTTGTATTCTAAACTCCAATACTTTTACATTTTACAGCATTGTATATTTCAAAGTTCAAAAATTAGCCACTCTTAAAGTTTTGTAATATTTTTCATGGAGTCTTTTCTCAACTTCTAGCTATCAGCGTTTGTTGATTTAAATCAGCTTGATTTAAATCAAATGATTTTTTTTTAAAAAATCATTGATTTTGAAAGATTGAAAGTTAAAAAACAGTGTTTTAAATTATTGATACTTTTATTGTTTTCTTTTCTTAGTTTTAAAATTTATTTTAAATAAATTGCTGCATTAATTAATTTTAGTTATTAAAATTACTTTCTTTCTTGGTGTGTGTTAAATTCCAACACATTTGAAATTACATTTTTAAAAATCTTTTTGATTCTTGAGATTGATTGGATAGCATTAAATGTGTACAGATTAAAGTACACATTAAATGCTGTCTTAATATAGACTGGCATAGCTGTAGAAAGTAATTAATAAGCATGATTTAAAAAAAAATGCTTTTTATTAGTGGAAAATGTATATTTCTAAAGCTTGAGGTTATATTAGAAGCAAATTACCCTAATATGTCAAAAAAAGAAGGAAAAAAAAGGGGGGGCTGATGAATTCTACTTTAGTTCGTGTAATGTTTTCAATGTAGCTATTTGTCTTTTAATTTAAAAATATTAAAATTAACCACAGTTCATGTCTTATTTTTTTTCAGCTGCTCCCTTCAGACTGTTTAAAGAAACTAGCTGACTAGAAAAAGCTGAAAAATTTGGTGAAGCTCTTGCCACCGCCAACGACCGGGAAGGCAGGAAGACTAAGTTCGCCTCAACTGACACAGTTTTGTTTTAGAAACAATTGATTGTATTAAAGAATACTATAAATTATAGAAATTAGTATATTATTCTTTACTGTTTAATAAAATGTATATTTCATTTACACATTTGACAACCGTTCAAGCCCTAATAGATATTTTGGCAACACTTTAATGGACATAGGCTATAAGTAAATTAAATTGCAGCTTATTCTACCGTAGCTTAACCTTTTTTAAATAAGAAATCTGAGGATGTGACTCTTATTTTATTATGACAATATGTGTGTAAATATTGCTTTTTTTCTTCTTTTTAATCAGTTTTCTTAAAATCGAACCTGATGCTGTGAGGATAAGGAATTTTGTTTTCCATACATACT